GGGGGGGGGGGGTTGTCGGGCTGTACGAGCTCTTAATGCCCCCCCCCCCCCCCCCGGCACACCTCAACATGGGCCAAACGCCTGGTTTCCCCGTCGCCATACCATGTGGCGGCACGCTGGGAACCTCCTCCATGGCCTTGGGGACGTCCAGTCGACCGAAAACGCTGCGTTTAAAGCGTTTGCAGTCCACTCTCCCTAAGGGTCAGAGTGGTTTGCTTCCACTCCGGAGGTAATGTGTCGCGTTACCACCACCCCCCCCTCCCCCCAACCACTCACGGAGTCCTTGGGTCAGGGCGGAAAGCTGGGACGAAACGGTTGCCTAGGAGCGTCTTTCTCACGGCCGCGTAGCTAAAATCATCGGCATGGGTTTTAACCGCCACCCAAGCCTCGTATCCATCAACGGCAAAAAGTAATAATGTTACGTTACTACTCTCGTTGCGTTTGGAGTCTTGCCATCGGCCCGAGGTTTTTTTCTTCGGGAGAACAGTAGGGCCTACCTCCCTAATAGTCTGCCGCGAAGAGGCACACCCCATGTGGACGCCCATAAGTTTCCTTGGAGACGTGTTCCTCTCGGAACTTCCCCCCTTGCCTGGGGGGGGGGGCGTCCAGAGACCGAAAACGCTGCGTTTAAAGCGTTTGCATAATTTATATAACATTCCCCATTGTTGCCCTCTCCCCATCATGAGAGATTTATCCAAAAGGTTAGCCAGCATTCTGTATAATCATAAACTGTATTAGGCTTTTGAAATATGAGATGAATCGTCTATTGAATCTATTGTTCAGGAATATGAGACAACTCTTTGTAAATTCTCTTTCCTTCACTATCGATTTTTTCTCATAAAATTCACAAGCAAAAGATCCAGATATCTGACTCTATATTTCCTTCGTCCCCCTTTTCAAACTAACCTCACAACCACGAAGCGCTAGTAATAATAATAAAATAAAAAGTGCCGGTATATTATTTAGTCATCTCTGAGAAAACGTTCAAATTTATTTATCTTGGTTGCGTCTCAGGCATATCTTATATTTCGGTTACAATAATTGACTAAACATTACGAAGAAATATAGGCAATTATTATTAAAAACTTAAAGAGCAAGGACACCCATAGCCATATCTAAATCTATATCAACTGATTAACTGTATGTAGTTTTTTTTTGTTTGTTTTTTTTTTGTATTGTATTACCAGCCACGTCTTACTAAGAATCAAGAAGTGTCCAACTAAAACTATTTGACAATGAACTGTTCGAAACTATTTAAGGTAGGCCCCTATTTTATCTATGTTCTGAACAGTTCTGTCTATATTCTATATAATATTATATTAATTTTTATTTTATATTACAATTTACAGGTTTAAGTTTTCATCTAAGAACAAAAATAGTGAAAAAGAAAGAAGACAGCCAAGGAAAATAATGTTGAGGGCTGTACTGTAGTTTTAGTTTTAGTCAGGCACTTGAGTCTTGCTTAGACAGGGGCAGGGGTGTCAAAGCAAAGTCAACTCAATAAAAATGTACAGTACACAGACAAAAAGTTTGAAATGGCAATATTCTAAATCTCCAGAATTTTTACAGTTACAGGCAATCAAAACATTTTACAACCACATTATAAAAATAAGTTGGCAATCTACCACTTGAGTCTTTGTCGGTTATGAAAAATCCTGTTGTTCTGATTTGAAGCGTTATTTAAACTGTTATTTTTTTATTGATGTGGACAGAGGGCCACTGAGTTTTCAGTGGCATAGAATCATAGAAAGAGAGAGTGGGTGCTATTTTCTAATCAAAGTGCCAGATCACGTGCAATCATTTTACAGAATTGAAGCAAGATATATCCTACAGTCTACAGGCTCACTGATGGTATCGGGCAGATAGGCGGCTTATGGCTACTTATGCCAACATAAGCAATAACAGGCTTGGAATTGTTTGACTGTTTGTTGATCCAAACAGAATGCTGAATGACTTCATGTTCCATTCGGCAACCGATTTTGGAGAGTGTAAATTATATTTTTAAATACCGTACTACATTGTTACATTGTGGTCTTTTCATACTTGCAATTGTTTTAATTTTTATATTTAAAAAATGTTGTCTTGAATTATTTATATAAATATGTTCTGAAATGAATATGTAGAATTGCAATTTCATAAAAGATATTTCCATCTATTTGGATCAATAAAACAATTTTATCTTATCAATTTCAATAAATATCACATCACACTTCAAACCAGAACAACAGGATTTTTTCATAACCGACGCTAAAGTGGTATATTACCATTTAAGTCTAAGAGCATAATATTATAATAAATTATATGCTAATATTAATAAGTATAGACTAATAGTATAAGCTAAAAGTAAAAGTGAAAAGTAAAAGAAAAACAATATCAAAGACAAATTATTTGACCATGTACTTATAGACCATTTATAGGAATATAGAAACAAAAATAGGTAATTAGTCTACACCACGACCATTGATTGTATGATATTCTCATCAAAGTTGAATTTTTAATACAAGTATAAAGCTTGCAAGAAGTAATTGTAACTCTGCAAACACTAACATTTACAAATATGTTCACAATTTTACACTTCAAAATATTTATTGTACAATGTCTCAATTTTTTTAAGGGCATCCAAAATTCTTTATTGGCTCTTACTTTTACAGACAAGTTACTTTAGGTAAATTTATGGACGTTTCGATAACCCTGTGCCTAGACGTGGTTCATAGTTTTTCAGTGACTATGATGTAGAAAATTAAAATGAAAGTTATATACAATGAATGGTTAATAGTTAAGTAAATGGAGAAGAGATTTTAAAAAATACACAGTGGCTACTTTACATATGACTAATATGAGTAACATTTGACGTAGTAACATTTGACGTGACTCACAAGTAGCAGAAAAGTTCAGTAACTTGTAGTATGGCGTAGGGGGGTTGGGGGTGTTTGAATGCTTTCTTTTTTTACTTTTGCCCTATGAAATTCACTGGTTTTAGTGTGGCCGTCATAAGACATACCTACAGTAACCGGTAATCCCATTCAACAACAAAGAAATCCACCACTACCAAATTATATCCCTCCTTTTCACCCAAAATGGAATTTTCTTAAATTTTGGGATTTGGGATATCTCCCTGTGCATATGACATGTTGCTTACGGTAAAAACAAGCCACAACTGACCTGTTTTTCCCTGGATTGTCAGACTTAAAATTGCAGTTGTTCATATGAATAGAAAGTGTGCTATGGGTAGCCAATAAATTTTTTAAATTTATATTTTAAATTGTATCCATTTTATTGAAACCAAAAATGTTCTATTAATATCTTTAAAAATTCAGTTTTAATGAAAATGTAATATTTAAGTATAATAATTTTTTTTACAGAATGTCTCAAGACTATGTCTAAGGAAAAACCCAAAGTCCAGTCTGCACACATCTCTTCAGAATAACATGCCCATGGTGCCAATTGTTATTGAGCAAACTGGTCGAGGAGAAAGAGCATATGATATTTTTTCACGATTGTTGAAAGAAAGGATTATATGTATAATGGGCCCTGTAAGATGATTATGCTATTTTTTAATTTTAGAAAGTCACGCTATTTTTCAGTGTAATATTTTTAACAAGTGTAATATTATACAATTTGCAGTCTTTAATTTTGCTAATGGAATGAGTTCAAGATTATTAGCATATGATTAGATTTTAAAATATATACCGGTACTGTGTATAAATAATTATTCAATAGGTAATTTTAACTAGTCTAGTTCTTAGCAGCTTGACTGGTTTAGATTATGTCTTATTTTTCTTACAGAAATAACCTTTCTAACCTTCGCAAATCTGGTAAATGTTGCACATATGCTTTTGAACAACAAAAAGCAAATACACTTTTGATATTAGTTACCGGTTCTTACAAGAATATAGCTAAATTGGGAAAAACAGTGTCTCATTTTTTTCAGATCCATGATGAAATGTCTAGTCTTGTTGTTGCACAGTTGTTGTTTTTACAATCTGAGAGCAGCAAAAAACCAATTCATATGTATATAAACAGTCCAGGTAAAATATAATCCCATTTTACTATTTGGGTTATCTATCATTAACATGTTGGTCAATACAAGGTCTTCAATTATAAGCTTAAGATATTAATTAACCCTCGAACTGTGGCATGCATCATTCTGTGGTGTGGAGCTTTTCAGAGCTTTTTGAGAGCCTTTTGAAATTGCATTAAATGACATAGAAATATTGATGCAAGACCCCAATAATTATATATTTTTAGAAAGGTAAATGGATGGGGATAAAGTTGGCTATATTGTCCACCCCGTACAGAAATGTTGCTCAGTGTCCTTGACCTTGGAGTGCTCAAGAAAATAAAAATCGACAAAATGTCTTGCTTTCAAGTGCTCATAGCATCATTAATTTTTATAGATACAACATCATTAATTTTTATAGATACACTTAAAATACAAATCTAAATTTTGTAGCTAATTCATTTATCTTTCAGAAAATGTATAGTTTACTAAGGTTTTGATTAAAATTAAACCCCTGAAAGCAATTTTATTAATTTTAGGTCATTTATATAAGAAACTGGGACCACAGCTAAAACCAAGTACAAAATACAATATTTATAGCAAAATAGTTATTATTGACTAGTGAACATTTAAAAAGGAACTGTCGAACTGATTTGGGTTGTTAAACTATAAAATTTATTAGTTCTGATCTACAATCTGTAGCTTCTGTGACTAAAATTCAGTCAGTCCTTGCCTAATCTCCGGGCCTGGCTCGAAGTTAAACAGTAGCCTCAGTAGGCCTATTTTAGTATCACTCAGACTTGTATCAGATTCACGAAAATAAGAATCTGAAGTGAGATGTCGTGGGGAATGTTAAAATCATCATCAGTATCACTTAAATCCTCTCCTAAAAAGCTTTCAAAAATATTTATATTAGTTCTCGCACTGAAGGCCTGGCCAGAGCTTCCGCCATTTTAGCTTTAAAAAAAACAGCGCTATAAAATTCTGATTAAAAAGTACTTATTGTTAAGTTATCAAGAAAGAGCTTGACCTGGAAGTTGATTTAATTATTAATAAAAGGAAGTGGCTATGATTTCGGTTAAATATTGGATTGGAAGTTGCTATCGGCCTGTGTTTTTTATCAGCCGATTTTTTCGGCCGCCACAACAAACGAACGAGAATATTGGCCGATGAAATCGGCCAACCACAGTTTGAGGGTTAAGTATCTGGTAATTAAATTCAGAGAGTAATAATACAGCTAATTTTAAAAATAATATTATTAATATTTACACATTTTTAAAAATATTTCTCCCTTTGAAATTATAGGTGGCTCAGTAACTGCTGGACTGGGAATCTATGATACTATGCAATATGTTCAGCCACCAATAGCCACATGGTGTGTAGGACAAGCTTGCAGTATGGCATCACTTTTGTTGTGCTCAGGGGCCCCAGGACTTCGTCATTCCCTTCCTAATTCTCGTGTTATGATTCATCAACCTTCTGGTCAAGCATCGGTATGTCAATACTTAAATCCAGTGCATGGTTTTCAGTGAGTTTCTTATGATATGTGATCTGAATAAGCTTCACTACATTGATAACAAGTACATGATTTACAATTTACAATAGCATCTGATAACAAATGGAAACAATAAAAATAAGAGGATGTTAATGTTAATCAAAAAGTCATCCTATCTTCTACTTATATTATATGTGAAATCCTTTAGGGCCAAGCAACAGATATTCAGATTCAAGCAGAAGAAATACAAAAGCTAAAGAAACAGATAAATAGTCTGTATGTAAGACACACAAAGCAACCCATAGATCTCATTGGTAAGGCAACCAAAAAATACCAGTATTTAATTAAACTTCTATTCTTTCTCTTTCATTATTTTATTCTCATACAACTCCATTAAATTGAAGCTATTTTCTAAGTAAGCAATATTTACTGCACAAATTTAAGAAACTGGAAGTTGAAAATTCTGCATGGAGTAGGTCATCTGCAAAAGATTTATAATAAGATAAAAACGATTTTTAAAAGTATTGATATCTTAATTCATTGAGGTGAGAGTAACAGTTTGAATCTTAAAATATAAATATTATAAGCTTTAAATTTTTCCTCAGAAAAAAGCATGGAGAGAGACAGGTTCATGAATCCAAAAGAGGCATTAGAATTTGGTCTAATTGACACTGTGTTAGAGCACCCTCCAACAGTGGAAGGGGAGTCAAAGAAGTAAATGTCGCTTTTAATTTTTAAGACTATTTGTAAAAAAAATCATGAACTTTGGGAAATTATTGCTTCCATTTCCATGTGGCGTTATCCTCGTCTAATAATGTTGTGGGATTGAACTAGTTTCATCAAATTCTTATTGCCAGTATCAACCTCTTTAAAAAAAAAATTTCCATGGTAAAACTGACCAACATTGACAAACATTCAAGAGTATATTACCGGTATCATAAGATGACTTGTTCCACTTTAAATCACAAAACTGGAAATGTGCCTTCAATAAAAATGTCTGTGTTAAACCAAAACTTAATGTCATCTATCTATAACTTGATTAGTGTCTGGTCACAGGTCACTGGTAGTATGTTAAAATAGAGAAAGCTGCTAGTTAAAGTTCATGTATCGCTTCTCATGTAACATGTTTTGTTACCTTCTCTTGTTGTAAATATTTCCAACAACTCAGAATAAAAATGTTAAAGTTAAAATCGTAAAAAGAATGGCTACTGTTTTTTTAAAGTTTAAACTCATCTTTTATAAGATTTTTATAGTATAAATGTTTATTCACTAACTTGAAATAAAAAGAGTTTGTTTGTTTTTTAAGCTACACTAATACTATAAAACTATAAAATCCTAATTGTACAACTACAAACTTATTCTTGTGTTGTCTAGGAGTTAGTTAAGTTTTAAGTGTACAAATTGAAATCAACACATCACGCTCCTTTATCAAAATTTTAAAGAATTATTTAATTCAGCTCTTGGTCCTACTCATTCAATGCTTTCACTCTGCTCTATCATTCAATGCTTTCACTCTACTCTAGCCCTACAGTATTCCACACAAGCTAAAAACCATAAAAACAAACGATCTCATGAAGTACCCTAAAAAATTCATACACCTAGCAACAAAAGTTTTAGATTTTTGTGACATACCGGTACCGGTATCTAAAACTTTCTCATAATAACACAAAACAAATCATTAACAGCTCATTATGATTTATACATTTATTAAAAACACAATGAATATTTGTTTAGCTTTTACAGGTAATTTGTTTAAACAAATACTTTTTTAGTAAAACTATTGCATATAATTCATATATCCTAAATTCATATTAAGACAAAATATTGAGCTATTGTTAAGCAAAAATATTTATTAATTGTAACCTGGATAATAGCGGTACCGGGTACCAGTAGAAATAAAATTAAAATAGAAAATAATTTTTTCAAAATTTTCTTACATCTGTAATTATAAGGCACCATATTTTGTGCATAATTTAACTAATAATAAATTATATATTGTTACCATCAAATAAAACTGTAGTTACACAAATCTAGTCACTTTCCACATTCAAATTGCAAAGTTTTAAAAATTACAGATAAATAAAACTATTTATCAAGCCTGTATTTAAATTATTGACTGTATATTTTTTTTTAATTAACATATACTAAGTCTTATAAAAGTTTCAAGCATTTTTTTCAACTTTCCTGAATTATTAATAAATTCCTTTTTTTTTTTTTTAAAATTAGCTTTCAATTTCTCATAATTATTTTTTTTTAAAGTTGTTTTTTTAAACTAATAAAATTTTAAAAAAATAATAAATAGCTTTTTTTAAAAACATGTATTCATATTTATATAAAAGTTTCAATCATTTTTTTCAACTTTCCTGAATTATTAATAAATTCCTTTTTTTTTTTTTAAAATTAGCTTTCAATTTCTCATAATTATTTTTTTTTAAAGTTGTTTTTTTAAACTAATAAAATTTTAAAAAAATAATAAATAGCTTTTTTTAAAAACATGTATTCATATTTGTCTTCCTGTAACTGTGTTAATAATTGTTCACATTTCTTTTAAAATACTGTACTAGAACCAGTACTGTACAGCAGTATTTGATCCATGCTGCATATATTTCTTTACCAAATTAAAAATGAATGGACAAAAAACACAAAATAGCTGATAGGTAAGTGAAACAAAGTTATACCCTATGTTGATCGAATTATATTTTAAACCAGGGGTCCTCAAAATAAAGCCCTTGAGCCCGATCTGGCTTTCCAAGCTTCGTTAATATAACCCAGGCCACTGTATAGGTAGCAGTTACAAAATTGGAACTGAACATTAATCATCTCATAAGAAAAAAAAGCAGACACAAACTTTTAAATGAAATACTAATAGTGTTATCTTAGTTAAAACTGTTCATTTGAAATATGGTACCGGTATTGTTTTGTTTTTTTAATCCATTTTTTAACTAAAAATAGGATTTGTGCAATTTGGGTAGGAATTAATTCATATTTTTATTCAAACTATAATAGAATAATCCTGCCCCCAAACAGTGTCTGCGGGACAGCGAACTGGACCCACTTTAAATTTTAAAAAGTTAGAGGTTACCTGTTCTAAACCATCGAAATTATTCATAATAATTCATATTAAAAACAGTAAGTGAACAATGTGAAGCACTCATGTGTGACCAAAAAAATTTCAATCAACTGGATAATAAATTTATACTCTTTTACAATTAATGCATTCAAGTTTCAGTTCATTTTTCTGTTTATTTCTCTTTATTAAGCCTGAAACATCCTGTGTGAGTGACAATGACAGCAGACCTCAGCTTACTTATCATAATCATTCCAATAATCTAACTACCCGGTACCATGCCTACGAAACAGATATTTTGAGAAAATTATAATTGAATAATTGTAAGTTTCATTTTGAGTTAAATTTACACATTATTGGTGCCAGCATAAATGTACATTTTTAAAATAAATATGGCGGCTAGGGTGGGCATACAGTTTAGCCTTTAATTTATGGCTAAAAGTTATGTTTGTTATCACATTAAAGAAACTTGAACACATTGAAAGACACATACAGCAACAATTTAATAATGTTATCATTGCCTTGCATAATAACATGGATGAGATTTACCCTTCATAAAATAAATAAAATTAATTATTCATAATAATAATATTTTATTACTTCTGTCTGTTTCTATAGACATTGGTAAGTTCAACAATTTCTTGCTCATTTGAATTATTTATTTCATTACGTTTAACAGCCAATACTTCGTAAGCTTTGGGGTCATCCTCTTTGGGGATTGCATAGTAGTAAACTGTGCTTCCTTCATGCTGTGATGTCATTATCAGATCATGCTTTTCAATTTCATATCTGCTTAAATTACCTCTAAGTTTATCAATATTAGGATCAGGTAGCAAATATGGCATTGAATAAAGTATCAAGACTACTACCAATGCTGTTATGCAGAAAGTCGTCATAAATAAGTTTGCATATGGCTGAAACTTTCCACCACTGTCATTTGCCTTGGTATTATCATGCCAATAAGCCTCCTCATAAAATGTTTTGTGATAACTGTGGCCTGGATGAGGATGATGTCCGTAAGAGTGGGAGCGATAAGCTGCTGCATTCATGTGACGAGCAACATACCGCTCTGCATTTAAAGTCATATCATAATCTTTACGTGATAATGTTTTAATGAGGACTGAATATGCTTCATTTATTTGAACAAATTTCTTATGTTTATCTAAGCATGTATCTCCATTTTTGCTAACATCAGGATGACATTCCTTAGATAAACGAAGGAATGCCTGTCGTATATCCTTTTTTGAAGCTGAACGAGATACTCCTAATATTTCATAATGAGACTTCTTATTTAGATAACTGGATACATGTCTTTGACACATCATAGTAGTCATTGGAAATAACTTAAATGACACATTTCTGATAGGACCTGCCATAATTTTGAACTCTCGAGGCCTAATGGATAATAATTTGCATACGGCAGGATGATTAGCAGTATCAGTAGAAGAAAAACTATGATGATAGCTCCGTGCCAGTAGTTGATATTTATGAAACAGCACCATCTGGCTCTGGAAAGTCCTTTTCTTTAATTTGTTGAGACAAAGAATCCTAGAAAGACTTGGTGTCACTGCCATTATCTTTAATCTTTTGAGGCCATGCTCCAGAGGTTAGAATTAAGTACGGCAGGCCGGTGCCAGTTAAGTAGACTGAGTAGTCTAGTGATGTAAATGTTTGTAGTAGTAGTCTAGTTTGTAGTACCGGTACCTAACTTAGTTTTATTTAGTAGTAATTTCTGATTCTGGCTGAAGACACTGAAGTCGAAGTCTCATTCAATTTTGAATTTAGGTGTCGATTAAAAATACAGTAAAACCAGGATTTATAGAATGGTTTTCATTAACATTCCGAGCAGCGACAAAATTATGGATTCATTTACAATTTAGGCTCACGTTTTTATTGAAATTATTAGCCTATATTACTGATTTATGCAACATAACCTATTTAACGTCATTGGTGAATTTTTTAGTGTACACTCTTTTGAGAGCAGAGTTTAAATAATTTTTTTTACGGAGTGGCTGCGTTTACCGAGGCGCTAATCACACACAAAATTTATTTTACTACCGCGGTGGCGGTAGGCTAACAAAAGCTATCAATCTTCAATCTAAATATAATCTTCAAAATAAATATATAATAAGCCTATCGCAAGAACTCTTATTTTTTTCATTGTACCATTTCTTTATCTTATTGGTCACATTATTTTAACGCCGAACCATGATTTTCACCAAGATTTTTTTTTAACTTCAGCATGCAATTTACCATTAGTCATTTATTAGTCCTTTGGGGGGGGGGATATGGGGGGGGGGGGGGGGGGAGTGCGACTCAGGCGACCAGCAAAATAATTACTCTAATGACGGACTACTATATAAATAATTATAACATATTATGAAGATACGATAACGGCGTGCCTGTAATACAATGAACACATTTAGGCTAATGTGTAGTCAGATGCAAATCTCTTCAAGCCAGCCCCTTGTCCACGAACTGCTGTTATTGAGATCTAAATGCCGCCAGTTATGCTCAGTTCACACGATCGAATTTGCATCAAGTTTCTTTCTGAACGCACCATTTTGTTCCACTAAACAGTGCGTTAAAAAAGAAATTTGACATAACTCACATTCAGTAGGGGCGTGTGGGAATGACACGAAATGGAGAATTGTAAGTTAAACAAAAGATCACTCGAGTCAGTTTCAAAACAGATCGTAATTAAATACAACAGCAGGTTGTGACCAGACAAATGTGCCACCAGAGCGTCGGGTGCGTTTTCCATTAGATCAATGGCTTAGCCACTTCTGTACATACGACCCCTGACTGATGCGTCCTAGGCATTATTCTAGGTTTGCCTAATGGGAAATTCGGTCCTGCAGGCGGCACTTATTTCGCGAAGGCATTTTGGTATACTTCATATACTTATTATAGCTTATATTCTGTGTATCCTGTATGCATTGTGGCTTTCATAATTAGAGGCGGCTAAAGAATGACCGACCGGTCGTCAAAAACTCTTAGCTACCATTCTTCAATGTTCCTAGTAGGACCGACCGCCCCGGGCGTCAAAAACTCTAGCTACCATTCTTCAATGTTCCTAGTAGGACCCACCGCCCGGGCGTCAAAAACTCTAGCTACCATTCTTCAATGTTCCTAGTAGGACCGACCGCCCCGGGCGTCAAAAACTCTAGCTACCATTCTTCAATGTTCCTAGAAGGACCCACCGCCCGGGGCGTCAAAAACTCTAGCTACCATTCTTCAATGTTCCTAGTAGGACCCACCGCCCGGGCGTCAAAAACTCTTAGCTACCATTCTTCAATGTTCCTAGAACGACCCACCGCCCGGGCGTCAAAAACTCTTAGCTACCATTCTTCAATGTTCCTAGAAGGACCCACCGCCTGGGCGTCAAAAACTCTAGCTACCATTCTTCAATGTTCCTAGTAGGACCCACCGCCCGGGCGTCAAAAACTCTAGCTACCATTCTTCAATGTTCCTAGTAGGACCGACCGCCCCGGGCGTCAAAAACTCTAGCTACCATTCTTCAATGTTCCTAGAAGGACCCACCGCCCGGTCGTCAAAAACTCTTAGCTACCATTCTTCAATGTTCCTAGAACGACCCACCGCCCGGGCGTCAAAAACTCTTAGCTACCATTCTTCAATGTTCCTAGAAGGACCCACCGCCCGGGCGTCAAAAACTCTAGCTACCATTCTTCAATGTTCCTAGTAGGACCCACCGCCCGGGCGTCAAAAACTCTAGCTACCATTCTTCAATGTTCCTAGTAGGACCGACCGCCCCGGGCGTCAAAAACTCTAGCTACCATTCTTCAATGTTCCTAGAAGGACCCACCGCCCGGGCGTCAAAAACTCTAGCTACCATTCTTCAATGTTCCTAGTAGGACCCACCGCCCGGGCGTCAAAAACTCTAGCTACCATTCTTCAGTGTTCCTGTATTATTTCGTGATCTGCGCAAATCGTTATTAGATTTTTAATTTTAATTAATTTTTTTTAAACGTAAAATTCGACAGTTTGCTTGATCTCAGTGTGGATGTCAGCGTTTTTCATGCGTTAATTCCCTTATCAATATCGCAATCTGCTACAGTGGCATAGCTAGGGTTAGTGCCCTAATTTAATCGATATTTTGACTGCCCTTTTTTCGCACCCCCTTCCTACGCCACTGATCTGTTGTGACTTTGCCACCAAGGTACTTAAATTATGTCACCCCTTCCCGTTGGTTGATGTTTACAGAATTTACCACCTCTGGTTTTGCTTCCCCCCCCCCCTCCCCCCGGATGAGCTATTTCTTTCTTCTTTTTCCTAGGCATTAAGTGGTTATGCCCCGATGTACCGGTACTGAGAATTTCAGTTAATTCAGTTATTCTCTCTGTGTTTTCCTTTGCATCTTAATACTTGGGTAGCAAAGCAATCCTATACCAACGTTGAAGCCCACCAAGTTCAGCAATATATTTCTTGCCTCTTTCATTTGGAGTCACATAGGTGAAGCGATAGGTAGGCCTACGGTATTTTAAAGGAAATCGGTCAGAGAATTCAACCATGCTTCACTCGTGTCTAAATTTTGAAAGGGTCACGCAGGTGACCTTATGGAGAACTCTGGATTTAATTTCTATATAGGTGATTTCATGATTGATAAATAGGAATACTAACCAGTTGTTTTGTTAGTAAAAAGTGTGTGTGGGTGGGGGGGGGGGGTGAGTTAGAGAGAATTCCATAACGTCTGACAATCTTCAAAAGTGACTCTCGATGTAGGCCTATGTAGATTGTTAATGTAAGACTTTCTCCAAGTCGATGAACATAATGATCAGAGCTGCCAAAGGTCAAGTCCTGATAAAAATGTGTGGGGACTCACTCAAGATCCTCCCTCCTACCGAAATAATGTGTATTTCTTAGCAAATACAGTGCATATGTTTATCATATTACACATATAAGTATAAGCCTTTTATACAAATCCTAGATGACCCACGACGCAAATGTAGCCTACATTTTTTGCAAGGTCGATGGTACTTAACGCACCCTGCCATACAGTACTTGTATGTCATGCAGTGCAGTACCTCTATAGAGCGAGTGCAAGAGTTCACAGTGCCGCCACCCACATTGAAAAAAAAACATTAATACAAGTTTAAAAGTGTCCCTTTTATTTAAAAAAAAAAAAAAAAAAAAAAAAACACAACTTTTGTCGGATTGGAGATTGCGGTCAGCCAGGAGTGAAGAGCGCTACTGCCAACAATATCTAGAGATTGGATTGGTATCTCAACATTCGGACACCGAGCGAACAAAACTTTTTTCTAAATGATCGCCATGTTGAGCATGTTGAACTCCAGACATTTAAGTTTTTGAACTAATTTCTATTTGTTTGATTCTTGTTTTGTCCTGTCTGCCGAAGAAGGCTTTTAGCCGAAACTTTTTACTTTTAATGTCCTGTCTTTTCCTTTAAAACTACAACATGCCTTGATCCGATGATATATCCTTCGAAAGTCAAGCACATTATTACAGGCATACTAAAAACCGAGGCGCACAGAGGGTGGCGCAGTGGATTCGAGGCGCAAAATCGTCGAGCATCGAAAAAATAATTATAAAAAAAAATAATAATATAATTCACTCGTTTTTTGCGTATACAAGTTTAAAAAATAATATAACTATTAGCAACTATTTGTGCCTTGATATGAATTATTGTACTAAATCTTATAATAATTTAATAAAATAGATTTCTCAAGATTGATAGGATAGGGCCCAATTTTCTCGGAACTCCTCTGTTTATATCCCCCTCCCCCCAGTTCTCTTTGCTTTGCTTGAACCTCAGATTCATGTTGTTGTTTTTTCTACCTATTTTCTCAAACATTTAGTCGATTTTCCTTATTTAGATATTGTAAGCATTAAGCACGCATTTATGCTGAATGTCTTTTATACGTCTAGGACTAAGGGTCTCAACCCATGTCATGGGTTGCAGAGGGTTTCCTTTCGACACGCCAGCTTAAATTTTTCGTCAGGTGTGACCAAAAAAAAAAATTATTTTAAAGAAATTTTTTATTTTAACTGGTTAATAAATAAAGTTTAAATAATTTCACAATATTCTCATTTGAAACATAAATGTTTGATATATTTTTTCTGTTTCTGTATTATTTCTATTTATGTATGAAGGTCACGTGTCACTTTGCTTCTATATAATAGTGTTTGACTTAAACAAGTTTTGGAACGTGACGCATTGTGCTCTAGGGCATAAAAAAGTAATATAATTGTTGTACCGCACTCCTTTTATACTTAAAAAAGTGGATATAAAAACGTGTAATTTTAAAAAAAAAAAAAGTTTAATTTCCTTTGAACAATCGACCATTAGAAAAATAAAATCTTATATTTGATTTTTTTTCTGGATCAAAAATTGTCATTTTTCACACTTAAATGACTGGACATTTAAACATGGTTTGAAAATTGTGTGTTTGCTCAAAATCATTGATGTGATCAAATTAAAATATTTAAAAGACAAAGTACACTACATTGCTAGACTATAAATAACTGTCATTAAATTTTATTGATTATAAGATAAAAATGTGACAAAGAATTTAAAATATGTTGTATCATTTTATATTTTCCTCCTGTATACTTCACAATTTTTATATATATATATACATCAACTAAAATGAAAAAAAAACTATTTTTGTTCTTGTACCACGACAACTGAATTTTTCTAATCTCTCCAATTAGACATGTATTTTTCGTAATTGCCATTGAAAATTATCTTTTCCATATTCATCAAGAGATTTTCTTTTCTTTCTAAATGACAAAGAGAAGTACAACATCAATTCATAAGTACAGATAGGGGATGTTATAAATAAATGCATTGCTGTTTATTAATTTTTACCTTTTAAATAAATAGTTTCTATCCTTACGTGCAAAATAATACACCAACTATTTAAAATGTATTTTTAAAAAAAAATCAGCACCACTTGATAACCAGTTACTGCTACCCTACCTTTTCATTTCTTTTCAAAACATTTAACCATAAACGTTTTCACCAAAGAATAATTTGGTATACAATTCAAATACAATTATGCTGAAGTAAAAATAGAAAATAACATATACAAAAAGTCAGACTATTTTTCATTCCATCCTTTCTATTATATAAAGAAAACAATAAAAAAAAAAAGTTCTGCTCATTTGAAATGTGATTCTAAAAAGGTAATGCGTACGGCGTAAAAACACCATATATACAAGTTACATCATTTTATTATCTGGAAAAAAAAGATAATAACATTTTTTTAAAAATTATATTTTTAAAGGGAAAAAATTATAGGTCTATCACTTTTTACAACATAATTAAGGAAAAATTTGTATGACAGATTTTAAATTATTTTTTTAATGTTAAGATATGATATTTTACTCTAATTACCTATTACTTTTTAATAAACACTTAATTATTATGAATTATATTTAGCCTTTCTAAATTTTAGGCCCTACTTCACTTTTTTCCTTTTTCCTTACAAAATTATTTATCAGTAGCAACAAGGAAAACTATTCAATAGCCATCTAAAGAACAACAACAAAAATCATGGTTATCACATGTTAGATTTTTTTAATGAAATAGAGCGTTAGCTCGAAACAATAAAATTTGATCTCACCACATCAAACCATGAGATCATTGCCCCAGCTGTTGCGCATCATAAGATCAAAGTAAGCATCGTTGTCAATGCTGCAGCTGATGGATGCATAATAGGACATAAATTCTTCTAATGTTACCTGTTAAAAAAAGGAAAGTAATTAAAAATAAAAGCAAGAATACTATAGATAATCAAATACAAAGTAAGTCTTGAGAGTTTTAGACATTTTATGAAATGCAGGTATCCTGAAACAAAATCATTTAGAGACATATTGTAAAAATACAAAATATATTTATTCAGCAGGGTAATTTCAATGTTGCAGCAAGAAAACAAGCAAAATACTGTTTATAATCATTTTAAATTAAATCTTGTCACAGCTTAACAAACTTGCTTTCTTCTCTTATTAAATCAAAATTTGTCAATAAAAGTTATAATACAAAAGTGGAATTCAAAATACTTGAAAATCTGATTTGTGAAAGTTGAAATTTTTAAAATTAAACATGGTTTGAAATTAATCACTAATCCAGTTTTATTTTTATTTTCAATATTTATTATTCATCAAATTTTATTGTGATCAAAGCTGCTCACAAAATTTATAATTTTCAACAGAACACATAAAAGCATTGTGAAAGCAATGACATACTAATCCATCAACATGTCCTTCGGCTTCAAATGTCTTCAGGAATTCTTGGTATACTTTTGTTTCAGTCCATTCACCACTGATGTATTTAGGATGTTTGCTTGCATTGTAGGTTTTAGCAATGTCTTTCACAGTCACAACACCATCACCTTTAGTTTAGGATATTCCAGTAAACAGAAATTAATTTCAATCATTCATTTCTGTTACAATTTCTGTGTAATGCATCAAGTTTGTGCCTTCAAAATGAATATTCATAGAATTAAGAGTCATTTCATTGTTTGTAACAAAAAAAGTATATATTTTTTTTAATAGATAATTACTCCTAATTCGGCACCAAAACAATGCAAATTACTCCACCTGTTTTGTCCATTTTGACAAAAGCAGCTTCAACCAGCTTCCTCCTTCTCTCATTCATCTTTGGCTAAAGAATTGAAAGGAAAAAGTAAAGTTTACAAAATGAAGTTTATACGCTAGAGTCTGAAGCTATTGAATATAAACATAATATAACCCTGTATACTTAAAACTGAATTATGGAAAATTTGTTAAGAATGATAGATAACTTGAGTACATAAAACAAAAGGGAAGCGTTTGGTACAATGTTTTGTTTTAAACTAACTATAGACCATAAGCGTTGGAGCTGCATCAGTTTGGCTGAACGGGGGAAAAATATTTGTTGAATCATTATTTTCAGAGACTTTGACTTCAAATAAGCAGGTTTATTAACGCCTTCTAATATTATTTTAATCATTAAAAAATTTAGATATGGTCCTGACATCTGATTGCTTAAAAAAAAAAATTTAGATCATCCAAAATGCATATACCATAGTTTAGTTTATTTTTGAATGACCATTATTGAAAATAGATAATTTTTCATTTAGAAAGATGATAAATCTATATTAAAAATACAAAATTTCATTATTTTTATTTACCTGTATAGCTCTGAGAAATTCATCAAAATTAATAGTTCCCTCTCCGTCCCTGTCAAATGTTCTATAAAGCTCAATTTCCTGTTCCCTTTGGAGTACAGCTCCCACTTCTCTGATTCCCTTGGAGAACTCATCAAAAGACAATTTTCTATTGCTGTCATCATCCATAATTCGAAATCGCCTGTGAAATGAAAGTAATAAAATATGAGCACAATTATTTTTTTTTTATAAATAACTTTCAAATTCGTATTAAGTTGTAAACAAAAAATTTCAGTGGACAAGTGCTTAAACAAACAGATGCATCTGATTTATTCCCCTCTATTTTTGTTTTTAACCATTAAAGTCCATTATTTCATTATAAAAAAATAGATTCTAAAATATATATTTCTGTTTTATGTCTTTGGATGTCTCCTCTCATCCTAGAATTAATTTTATTTTTGGAGTTTTTCCTTTTTTGTTGTATGGATCCATGGCGTTGAAGATGGGGGTTATCCAACACCAACCACTTACAGCATTTGAATTAAATATATATAGCAAAATTAATCCGCCTTGATACAATAAACAAATTTGATTTTAATTCCCCCCTCCTTTGGACAATTCTTACTACATCCATGGCCAATGTTTGGAAATAATTATGGACTATAAAATTAAATTGCCTAATTGTATTTAAATGTTTTTTGAATTTCACCAGACTGAAGTTAATAAAATTACGAATTGAACTAACAAAAGTGTTTGAAGTACTAACATTAAATAGGTCTATAGTGTAAAGTAGTGCTTTTGTTTGTTGGTTTGTTCCGTTTTTAGTTTGTTTGTTCGTTTTTTTGTTTTTTTAAACAACTAAATGATGTGTATAAAATAATTGATGACTAACTGTGACTAACATTTGAGCCCCCTTGATGCCACTTGCACCCCTTGCCAGAAACTGGGCCTGAACCAACTCCAGTGGATCCTTGGAATGTGCCCTTGTCACTCTGGCCTTCGCCTTGAGTTCTTCATTCAGTTTAGTCATGTCAGCCATCTTCAATGTTTTTCAGCAATATGTCAAGATGTGTTGTCAAACTTGATCCTGCGGAAGAAATATTTTTTTATTTTTTTTTAAGAGTAAAGAAAACTGATTGTTATATTATAGTCGGCCCTATAGCTGCACTTGTTTATGGTATAGTAGGCCCTATTGCTCCACGTTCTAATTTTATAGTAGGCCCTATTGCTCCACGTTCTTACTGAGCTATGTATTATGATAGATGAAATAGGGTTTTCCAGTTTTAATATGTAATTAGCTGTACTTATATTGTGTGTTACGGTGGATTTTCAAACACTCTAGCTTCGCCACTGTAGATTTTAAGGTGTTGCTAACCACATAAATACACGTACCGGTACCGGTTCATCATGTATTAGGTTTACCAGTAAGTGTTATTCGTAAGTAACTACCAAAAAAAAGTAGCTGAGCTTATTTGTATTTATATCTTGTAATAAGCCTCCTTTGAGGCTCCTTATATCAATCAGTCTCCTTGGAGGCTCCATATATCAATCATTGGCCTCTTTGGAGGCTCCATATATCAATCATTAGCCTCCTCGGAGGCTCCATATATCAATCATTAGCCTCCTTGGAGGCTCCATATATCAATCATTAGCCTCCTCGGAGGCTCCATATATCAAGTGTTAGCCTCCTCGGAGGCTCCATATATCAAGTATTAGCCTCTTTTAAGGCTCCATATATCAACCATTAGCCTTCTTGGGGGCTCCATATATCAACCATTAGCCTCCTCGGAGGCTTCATATATAAACCATTAGCCTTCTTGGAGGTTCCATATATCAACCATTAGCATCCTCGGAGGCTCCATATATCAAAATTGAACCTTCCTGGAGGCTCCAAATATCATTATGAAATAATTCACTTGGGCATAAAGTCTTCTAGACCCAAACCACCACACAAAGAGATGTAACATAATAAAACATCCTATACATTTGTAATATGCTTTCTTTTCTCTTAAGTGTGCGTCCCTTGACTTTTATTGTCCACACGACTGTCTTCACTTATTACACCAATAGTTAGAGACGTAATAACTGATCAAGGGGCGGGGCCAATGTGGCAATTTTGTTACCCCATTTGGGCTGACTATATACGTGTAATGAGATTACCACAAATGGACGAGGTCAGCCCTAATGGGCAGTGACATGATGAGGTCAGCACAGAAGCATTGAGACATGATGAGATGGCATAGCTGGCAAGTGGCAAGACGAGGTCAGCACAGATAGAAAGTGACATGATGAGGTCAGCATAGAAGCATTGTGACATGATGAGGTGGCATAGATGGCAAGTGACCAGACGAGGTCAGCACAGATAGAAAGTGACATGATGAGGTCAGCATAGAAGCATTGTGACATGATGAGATGGCATAGATGGCAAGTGACCAGACGAGGTCAGCACAGATGGTCAGTGACACGATGAGGTCAGCACAGCAGGGCAGGGACATGATGTGGTTAGCACAAATGGACCCTGGTGAAAACACTTTACGTTTCCCCTCGCTGGGATCAATTTACACGGTCCAGTTGTTACAACTATAAGATGTCTGTTGAGAAAATCGAATCATTGATTTTCTTGCTAAGTGGGCGACGCGAACAATAGAGATGGGTTTATTTATTTATTAATTTGGATCGTTACACGACACACGTAGGGCACATCCATGCAGCCAATGATCCACAATGAGCTACAATGACAGTTTTGCTTTTTTTTTCTGTTATTGAGTGATAGTGATAGATTCAGTTTGCTGGTGAACAGGGGCATTATGTGGATAGGGCAGGAGGGAGGGGCGTTCCCCCCCCCTGATTTTGCAAGATTGTTTCCCCACTAGGAATCAGTGTCTAAGACAGCAGACAATCAAATGAAGCAGAAAATAAATCAGGAAGACCACAACTATTCCACCATTTAAATTAACAACAATTGAAAACATCAGTCATCATGTGGCAATTCTTAGTTAAATTATTATGTCCCGTGGCACATCTAGTCAAGTAATAAACAACTCAACAACCCAGCCCCACCCCCAACCGAAACGTAAATAGGGTATGGCAGGGTGGGGCATTTGTAACCCCCTCCCCCCCCCCCCTCCTTGAATTTGCAGGTTTTATTTAAATTGATATTTACTGTGGCGTTTCCAGTAATGAACAACTTACAAGCCGACCAAGCTTTGGTTTTGTCCTGCACCCGTGGCACATCTAGCCAAGTAATAAACAACTCAACAACCCCGCCCCCCCCCCAACCGAAACGTAAATAGGGTATGGCAGGGTGGGGCATTTGTAACCCCCTCCCCCCCCCCCTCCTTGAATTTGCAGGTTTTATTTAAATTGATATTTACTGTGGCGTTTCCAGTAATGAACAACTTACAAGCCGACCAAGCTTTGGTTTTGTCCTGCCCCCACCCCCCGAAAAAGCCTGAAATGACGCCCCTGCCCCCCCTTTCCGAAAATGCCTGAAATGACGCCCCTGCCCCCCCCCCCTTTTTTTCCGAAAAAAACTGAAATGACGTACCTGGGGATGAAGCTGAAAGCCACTGACAGAATGTTGGATAAATTAAAAATGTACATGCTCCACAGTAAACGATCGTTGCTATTACATATTTTATAAACATTTTTGATAAAATCATTGTAACTTACGCTACTTAAACTAACTAGTTTATTAAAGACTTACTATGCCAATGAAAATGTAAATTTTTTTAAAATAAAAAAATCCCTGCAGCGTTGAGATGTAGGACGACGACTAGATCTAACAAGCCAGGCGTAGCACACGATCTGCCGCTACACATGATAGACTTGTTGACCACGTTTGGGTGTGTCTTGAATCATTATGCGATCGAACTTACCCAGGCACATGCTGGCATGCCGTCTACGCGCTGTTCGTTGTTTTGAGTCTCACTTTGACTCACGTTTACACTTTTTTGTTTTAACTATTTGTATGTGTGTTTGGCAAGTTGCCCATGCTTGTGAGTCGGTCTGGGGTCCATGCCTCTGTGGGTCGGTCTGGGGTCCATGCCTGTAAGTCGGTCTGGGATCCATGTCTGTGAGTCGATCTGGGGTCCATACCAGTAAGTCGGTATGGGGTCCAATCCTTTCAGTCAGTCGGGGGTCCATGCCTGTGAGTCGGTCTGGGATCCATGCCTGTAAGTCGGTTTGGGTTCCAAGCCTGTAAGTTGGTCTGGGGTCCAAGCCTGTGAGTCAGTCTGGGGTCCATGCCTGTGAGTCGGTCTGGGATCCATGCATGTAAGTCGGTCTGGGATCCATGCCTGTAAGTCGGTTTGGGTTCCAAGCCTGTAAGTTGGTCTGGGGTCCAAGCCTGTGAGTCAGTCTGGGGCCATGCCTGTGAGTCGGTCTGGGGTCCATGCATGTGAGTGTGTCGGCTCGTATCTCTCTGTTTCTCTCTTATTGGTGTATGCTCACACAGTCAGTTATGGGTATACAACTCTTTCCTACGATAAAGCCTAGAGTCTCAAAAAATGTAATGCATCTCTGTACATTATCTTCGTTGTTTACACCGAGACAACTTAAGATAGCCAACTCGCTTTGAGATATTTTCTCGGAATTTATTGCATGTTATTACCCCCACCCCACCCCCCCCCCCCCCCCCCCCCCCCCCCCCCCCCCCCCAATGTATTGCATCTCTGTTCATTATCTTCGTTGTTTACACCGAGACAACTTAAGATAGCCAACTCGCTTTGAGATATTTTCTCGGAATTTATTGCATGTTATTACCCCCACCCCACCCCCTCACCCCCCCACCCCACCCCCTCACCCCCCCTTTTTTAAAAAACCCAAACCAAAAATGATTAGGATATTCAAATCACTCCATGAAATAATTGAAGATATACAGCAGTGGTGGAGAACCCAACAGTCTTGGCGGGCCACTCTGATAATAGCGAGTGAACTGTTCGCGGGTCTCATGTTATTACACCATACCTCTAATACATTTTGCTTCTGACGCGTCCTGCTTCCTCGTCAAAACCTCCCAGGCTATTCCACTGTCTACCTTCCCGTACCTTTCTTAGGGGAAATTGGAATGAGGCAGTAGTATTTTCTATCACTATCATCGTTTCTCTTCTTTCTTGTTATTGATTGGCTCATGCTACAAACAACACACGGGAAAAGTCAAGTAATGTGTATATAATTTTAATGCTCCAATCAATCCTTAGACTTAGTGTATAGTATACTATTTATATGTGTTGATAGCTTGGCACACATTAATTTACATTTATATTACTACCATAAGTTAAAATTACATTGTTTTTAAAAAAAAATATATTAGTTACACTGGCCTGCAATTGACAGCTATGCACACCTGGCTCCTTTTTTGGTTGTGGTGAATGAAAATGTCAATAACAATTATAACCTAACATTGGCCAGAATATCTAACACTAACATAGGCAGGCCTACACATACATGCATATAAGTTAAATAATTACTGGTGATTAGTGTAGGCACTGAAGGTTAGACTTTAAAAAAAACACATTTGGAATTACTATTTAGTAATTATTACTACTACTTCTTATATAATTATAGTTATAGTCTATACTATATTCTAGCAGGTCAACTGTTGTACTACTTGAACCCAGCGTTGGCAGCCGTTGCAGTTCGATTGAACAAGTACATTTTTCGTTATAAACTTAATTTTACCTTATAAACCCATGTAATTAAAACATGTTTTTCAGTGTAGAGTACATTCAGAAAACACGGTTTTTATGCGCACAATTTACTCACAACAGAAAAGGAATTCACTGGACAGTCTTTATTTATGAATAACACACAACACGCAGAAGAGTTCTCATTTTTAATTTCTCACTGTTGACAGCGCTACCAAGGAAACGTGTCGCAACCTGCTCAGCGTGGAAGAGTTCCTAGACTTTATTTATATTTTATGTTAACTAGAATCATTGAATCAGAACTTCGTTTTGTTTTTCAAAACGCTGTAAAAAGTAAACATGTACTTCCTCTGAAAATTTCATAATTAACGTATATTCGGTTTAGATGTTTAATTTACCATAAGTTAAATATTCAATTACAATTTTACAGATACAAAATTTACTTCAAAAAATTTTTAAATCAGGATGAGACATTAGTTACTTTAAAGTTACATGACTGATTTCATTTAACTCATTTTCATGAATTATAATAATTTATAAAATAATCTCATCTCATGATTATAGGCCACATAGCCTCTTATTTCCTGTAAAGAGAAAAAAAAGGTCTTTCGTTTTAATTTTAATTACTAAAAGAAAGATTATTTAAATCTTTTTTTTTTTTTTAAATATTTAAATACACAAATAAACTCGTTGAAAAAACGATAATTATTTTTTTTTTAAACTTTCCCAACTCAGGCGTCTAATGTCGCATGTGACGTCCACATGAAACATTTTAATGTACTCCCCTATTCTATTAATTGGAACAGTCCCACTGACATATAGATGAAATTTTAAAGAAGCGGTAAGCTGTATTCAATTTCAATGTAACATCCCTTAAAACAAAGTTTTTCGTATATATCCTTTATGAAATCTAATATCGGTGGGTGGGGGGTGGGGGAGGGCTGAAAAAGTTTACAAAGCATGCATACAAGTTACGCACTTTATAAGAATCCCATTTAGTTCCCCTCCTCCCCAGGCTCGTAACCGCAATTTTTTTTCACGCCCCTGGGGTATATTAATATTCTAATGACCCACCCTCTTTTACACCGCAGATTTATTTCACCAGCTATTTCAGGGGAAAAAAAAAGAAAATATTACGCGCCAAACACACTTGCGTTTATTTTGCGCTGTTATCGGGAATGTCATATCATGAAATCAGTGGCATACTATGTCCTTCATTTTCCCCTTAAAAAAACAGTAAAAACTGATTATTAGGGGTTGGGCTGAAAATTTGATAAATGTGTTGTCATCGGAAACGAGTCTATGCTCCAAGTTTCAGCTCGATAAGCTAATTGGAAGCGGGTCAATTAGCCGTCCGAAGATTGTGCCAGCCAGCCGCGAACAATAGTGAAGTTATTAATAACTAATATAAAGGATTTTAAAAAAGAAAAGAAAACATGATTATGAGGGCCACACAAAGGAAAATCTGGGTCCCGGGATAAAGACGAATTTTAGCCCCAATCTTCGGAAACTGTATATATTTCACGAATAATGAATTTTGAGCGCCCTTTGTTTTAGGCGCCCATGGCCCACGCCCATTCGACCCCGGTGTGGCATGGCTCTTACTGCCTCTAACGTGGCCCATTACAGTGGTATCTGCTTTTCTATTCTCGTATTAATCAATACTTCAATAATTTAATCAACAAAGCATGGACGGCGGGCCTGCTCGTGATGTTGTTGGCTAAAATGCCCCATTCAAGAGGGCCATTGTTCTACTAGATAGTAGACTTTGTCTTTATTGAAAGGTGTGTGTGTGCAACTAATGAAGTAGCAGATAATAAATACCCTGGATGAAGACCATGGATTGTTTTTGGAGTGCCTGGTGGAATGATGCGGTCGTGAGGCATTGGTTTGAAATTGGGGCATTTTTTTACAATTATAATTTTCTTCAACTCTTTGTTTGTGAAGTATTTTAAGTGGCGGCCAAATTAGTTTTGCCACCGTAAACGCTAGAAGAGAGGCTCCAAGGTCATTCACTTATTTTGTTTCCTTTCCACGAGACCAGATCCGATTTACTATAAAATAAAAAACTATTACTCAATCAATGAAGCACATTTTCAATATACAACACTTCTATCTGCTACTACTAGCACTAGTGGCGCAGTTTTGGGAGGGGTGGGGGCAGTGGCATAGTTAGAATTAGTGCCACCTAGACTAGCCTAACACACAATTTGTGTAATTTCTATTTACATTTATTAGGCATTTAAAATGGATTGGAAAATATACTCAATTATTCCAATTTACCATCGACATCCTATCACCCATTCATATTCCAACCAGTCCACATCCCAACCAATTATGGATACCGGTACAGGAATTTATTAGAAAATATATTAAAAGGGGAAAAGAAGAAAAAAAGGGGGGGGGGGGAGGGGGGAGCCAGTCACCTGTTGAGCGGGGGACAATATTTATAAAGACGAGCGATGTGTTGATTTGATTTCATCGGCCATGCTTTCATTTCCGGCAAGATACTTGCTCATCTCCCTTGGCCTTGCACGGTTTACACTATGTTTAGGCTGTCAATGAGACAAATCTACACACACGACATTACACAGGACCACAGGAAACAGTCTACACACGACATTACACAGGACCACAGGAAACAGTCTACACACGACATTACACAGGACCACAGGAAACATCCTCCACACGACATTACACAGGACCACAGGAAACAGTCTACACACGACATTACACAGGACCACAGGAAACAGTCTACACACGACATTACACAGGACCACAGGAAACAGTCTACACACGACATTACACAGGACCACATTGAACAGTTAGACAAATCTATACACACGACATTACACAGGACCACAGGAAACAGTCTACACACGACATTATACAGGACCACATTGAACAGTTAGACAAATCTACACACGACGTTATACAGGACCACAGGAAACAGTCTACACACGACGTTATACAGGACCACATTAAACAGACAAATCTACACACGACGTTATACAGGACCACATTAAACAGACAAATCTACACACGACGTTATACAGGACCACATTAAACAGACAAATCTACACACAACGTTATACAGGACCACATTAAACAGACAAATCTACACACGACGTTATACAGGACCACATTAAACAGACAAATCTACACACGACTTTATACAGGACCACATTAAACAGACAAATC